AAAGAGAATATACCACATCCGAATCATAACAAGGACAAGGGCCGACGGGGACGGATATCAAAACCATGGCACTATGTATAACAAACAACGTACGGGTAAGATAATTATACGAGTAACTATATATCTAAATCACACAAACATCAATTTTTTATATAAAATTTCATCAACAAGAGGCTCACCACAAGGTGGTGCCGGCGACGGGACGGTGCGGGCGATCGACGATGGTTACGACGGAGATTTAGAAGGCACTAAGTAAACCACACCTACATATGCAAACTAAGTGTTATTTTGACCTCATTTTGCATATAAATCAAATACTACCACATATAATTCCTTCCAAATTACTAAAACCCACAATTAATCACTATATAAACCAATGCAAGAGCTAATCTAGCAATGAGAGATGAAAGGACAAAGTTGCTAACCTTTGTGATCATTTGAATGGATGGGGGCCTGCAAATCTTGACAAATTTGGGGCAAATTTTATGATGAACTCGAGAGGAAGAAGGGAAGAACAGAGAAGAGGGAGAGGGGAAAGGGGGAAGAACAGAGTGCTGGTGGCACGAACCGGTACTAAAGGTGCTGGAGGGGCCCCACTCTGACAACATCCTGCCACCACTCTCATTAGTACCGGTTCGTGGCATGAACTGGTGCTAAAGGTTTGCCACGAACCGATACTAAAGATCTCCTCCCGCCTAGCCGTTGGAACCGGCACTAATGGACACATTAGTCCCGGTTTTGTTACAAACCGGGACTAATGTGTCTCACATTTGACCATTTTTCTACTAGTGATAGTTGGTCAAACCGGAAAGGGTTTGACTTAGGACAGATAAAATGAGCTTTGTAAATTCATCTGTGGGTATAATTACAAAAAAATAATGCCCTAATTATATATCAAAGGCATAATGCGTAGTCTTACTTAGATTAATAAAGCTAAACCGCCAGATACAAAGTGTTGAAAATCAGCTTACATGCAAGATACAGAGTGTTGAAAATCAGCTTACATGCAAAAGCACACATAGAAACAGAAGAAAGCAATTTGCCAAAATTCGTTTTCGGAGGAGTTCATGGCTTCTTCAACTCTCGGGAGGCTAAGTGTTGATGCCAAGCAATCAGGCTCAGCCTTCAAAGAATAGCTTTGCCCTCTCGTCCTGGATCAAAGAGTGCCACACCTTCGATAAGCAGAGCAGCTCACTCGAGAGAACAAATGAGCCTTGGCGAGTAGAGAGGGCAACGGGCACAACCACCTCACCACAAGAAGCTACCAACAGACAACCACAACAAAACACAACCTGCAGGGCCAGATCACCAAAGAAGTCGCATTGGGCAACAACGCCACCCAACAGACCCAGAACTTGTATAAACCCGTGCTCACCCCACCACCAACATGTCGTTGTGCCTAGAGAGGGGGGCTTAGGGCATCTACAGTCGGGCGTCCCAAATCCATTTCAAACACTCGGACAAACAGCCTGATCACAAAAATCGATCCAGAAAGACTTCTCAAAAGGGCCTCAAACGTAAAGGTGGACCGGCACCCCTCATATCTAGCCCAAACCTAGGGCGAATATGAGGACATCATGGGGCGTCCACCACGTCGGACTGAGGATGAGGTCCCACACAAAATCGTTCGGAAACCTGGCGGTCCGACGAACATCTCCTCCGATGGGGGGTGTGAACGCCGCGTGGCATCGTTCCGGCTCGCCGCACGAGGCCAAATCCGGCTCTTTAAACCGGTCAGCATTCTCTAACCCTAGCCACACCCACCTCCTCCCTCTCCGCGCCGCCAGCCCGAACCCATCCACCACATCTCTCTAGCTCCGCCGCTCTTCCCAACTCCGGCATGCTCTTGTCCGGTTTCATGCGTTGGCGGCGGGAGGGAGGAAGAGAGTAGGAGAAAAGAGCAGGAATTAAGTAGAGAGCGGCGGGATGGAGGAAGGTATGTAGTGGGGATTTTGCCGCGGAAATAGTGTCGGTAGCTACAAAAGGGCAGGCTTCACCTGCCTTTTCAGTGCGCCATGAGTGTAAGAGTCCAATGTGTCTCGTGTCCGGACTCCCGCAAAGCCTCCACACGTTTGATTCTAGTTTATGAGAAAAGATTGGTCCGAACCGGACCGCTCCACAGACCGATACAGGGGCGCGTCGAATGACTTCCAGGTTCTCCACTGAGGCGTGCGGGCTTGCTGTGATGTCGTTGGCGAGATGCGTGGAGGCGAGAAACCAAAGTGTAGGATCCCATCTGAAATCGTCCCCCCGGTCGAGTCACCTCTAAGGTCGAGTCGAGTCGAGTCATCCTCCAGGCGCTCAACATGGTGGCCGCACCAGTGACCCATCATTCGATGGCTGCTACTGGTAGCCAGTGCTAGCTACGTATCGGGCCGGGGCAAGGCCGGCCGGCGCCACGGCGAAGCGGAGACATCAATCAATCACCACCGTCACGGCCCGGTCACGTCACGTCGCGTCACACGGGTGTACTTGTGACGTCGCGATCCCTTGCCGCATCGGCGTTGCGCACCGGCGAGAAAGCCGACTGGATGACCGAATGATTGGGCAGTAGGCACAATAATCATCAGCGGATAAACTCTGGCAACGCGGTGGGTATAAAAAGGCAGCAATGTGGCCGGCACATGCACGCGGCTCACCAGTGAGAGTGAGAAGCAAGCCGGACGTGTGTGTGTGGCGTCCCTGTGTGTGCGCTACTGTGGCGGTGGTTGCGTGCGGTACGCGAGTGCGATCCTGGCACAGCACGTAATAAAAGTTGGCACGCAGATCCGCCCTCCCACTGTGATCTGCATCCGCTTTATGTGAACCCGCCGGGCGCACGAGACAGACAGGCAGGCAGCTAGTGACCCTTCGTGAGTGGAACGTACAGTAGGTAACATCATATCGTATGTACCCACGGCCGGCGCGCATCTCATCACCTGCCTGCAGAACCGGCGATTGTAAAGTTTGTAGGTATTATATATCTGGATATTTGCTGACGGAGAGGAGACGACCGTGCGGTGACTGTGACCGTTGATACATGGTTGGAGCACTATCCGTAATAAGTGCCACGGTGTTGACTCTTAGAGCGTCTTTAGCAAACCTCTTAAAATAGAAATCTATAAAACACGGATACATGTGACGGAAAACATGTTTCAAGAGTCGATTTAAGCTACGGCCCAACAGATACGGTAACGATGAACGGTATCTTCCAGCCGCATGGTGCCGCCGGGCTTCCTCGGACGTGAGCGGCGTGCCTCGGCCTCCGGCGCTCACCCTTTGCCGCCTTAGCCGTCCGGCCTCCACTCGCCCGTGAGAAATTGGACGATGGGCTCTGGAGCAGGTTCGGATTTAGGCAGGGAAGCGAGAAAAGAAGACCGGACTTCGCCGGAGCCGCGAGAAATTCATGACTGGAGCCCTCTGGTACGGACGGCGGCGCGCATGGAAGGCGGAGAATACACACGCACACCCTACCCCTATGAGCACCTCCGAAAGACTGAGCCGGCATATCATCTTGAAATTTACGAAGTCACCGTAAGCACCTCGTCGTCGACCGGAACGTCTCCTCCCACTGAATGCGCATCGCCGGAAATCCTGGTATAAATCCAAGAATAAATGCAAGCATCTAGATTTGAACCCTGGTGGGCTGAAGATACCACAATCCCTTTAACCATCCAACCCCAGGTTGGTTCGTAAATTCTGGCCAATTTGTGGCCTGTATACTGCCCTCCAAAGTGTAGATACGTTTCCGGTGGCCTGTAAAACGTATACAGTTTCGCAAACTTTTACATGATCCTTTCTGGACAAAAAATTGGACCGAAACCGTAAACTCTCCGGAATTTTACAGGTTTAGCGTTTTTAAAGAATCTAGCGCTCTTACTATGTATCGGAGGGAGTAGTGTACTGTATATACAGGTGCTCATGCATTGTCGACTTTCCCCCGGTTCAACTTTCATCGTGCACACCTGACCTGTCTCCACCATGCCATTGGCATTGCCATGCATCAACAGGAATAGACCACAGTGTGCGTACCTGCCTCTCCATCTTCTCTCAGACTTTCCATCGTGCGTGCTCTCACGAAAAGGACTGCCCAAGGATGCCGCACCACATGATATCTTGGGATGGAAGTCCTGTGATCTCCTCTCTCTTACATGCATGCATGTGGAAAATCCGTGCCATTCTATCCATGTACTCCCTTCGTTCCTAAGTATACAAGTCTTTCTAAAGATTTTAATATGAACTAGGAGTACATACGAAGCAAAATGAATGAATATACACTCTAAACTAGGTCTATATACATCCGTATGTATAGTTCATAGTGAAATCTTTAAAAGACTTATATTTAGGAACAGAGAGAGTAGTATAGCAGTACCGGGACGTGGTCTACTGCGACCAACCATTTGTCATCACCCTCCTCCGTGCAAGTCCATGCTTTTAAAGTGCTCACTGGATGAGCAAAAAAAAATGATTTATTTTTAAAACAAGGCAAATGAATTGCCATTTTCATCAATTACGAAACTGTTTAAAACAGATTGCCGAGGTTGTAGCCAGAGCATTTTCACAAAGTCCTCTCCCCCTGGTACGAAAATTTACAAAAGACTAAAATGTTCACCAAAACAATGTGGCGCGTTCTGCCAAAAAAAACCCGAATGAGTGCACACTGTGAATTACTCGCAGCAAAAAATTCCACTTTGAAGAGAATAACTCGCTATGCTCACTGACTTAACTCTGAATTTTGTTCCAAGACGCTGTTTTCCCTGATACTAGTATAAAACAAGGAAAAAACTGAAGAAGTGCTGGTACAGAGAGAGCACCAATCCTGCCTGGCAATGTACTGGAAAGTTCTATTATTGCCCAGGGTGGGTATGGCTGCTAAACTACTGGGGTTTGCCTGCCGCTTACAAGGGGATAAAAGTGCGTAAATCGCCCATGTGTTTTCTTCTTCTAGCAAGTCCAGCCCTGTGGTGGTTCAACGAGCGTGATATCATGATCTCGTCATGTTGCCGCATCATGCTAGGCTGCTAGCTTTCCCTTTCGTCTCGAGCTTGTGGGACAAAGCGCCACAGATCGACTGCGATATCGAGCTCCTTTTGCTTGTGGAACCTGTAGGTCCGAGGTAGATCATAGCGCAGCTGTAACAAGGAGGAAAAGGAGCACGTTGCAGATATTACCACAGCACAGCAGGTGTGAAGCAAAAGACATGGTTTCGGCCCAGAATCCCGAATTCAGAATAACCTTCCCATAAAAAACAAAAAGGTATTTATCCTCGTTTTAAGCAAGACAAGAAAGGCTAGCTTATTTCTCCGTTTCAAATAACATTACCTCACACAGAACTTCAGCACTGATTGCGTTGCAATTTCGCAGGGCTGCCTTCTTGATGTACTAAAAGATCAAAAGCACAAAAAGAAAATGAACACTAGATGAGCATTTCTTCCACATGAAATGTACAAAATGGAAAACGGACAAAATATCGAATATGGTTAGGTTCATCGTGTACAAAATTGAGTAATTCCTTTTGGAGCTCCAATGTTCTCTACAAAGCAGGCATTAAAGATGTACACGGCAGAACTTGCTTCTCTCGTAGAAGTCTTGTGCAGAGAATAGACAGCTTGAGATGCAACCTGTGAATAATAAACAGATATTAAAAACTTACTGCAAAACTAAGAACGTCTTTCATTAACTGCTATAGTAAACTGTTGCTCTGACAACCTTCAAGCCCATAGAAAGGAATTCCATGTCAGCTCCTTTTCGCTTTGTCCCAAAGGGAGGATTCATGACAACAGTGTCGACAAGAAGCCCTGCACCATATCTCTTATAAGGAACTCAAAAGGTTATGGGCGCTTTTCATTGTTAAAAGCATCTGTATTTGTGAACCAGTGTAATTCATTTCACAAGAACCACACTTTACATGTGTTCCTTTTGCTAACATGATTATATTTCATCTACTTTCCTTGCAAAAAATCATCATCTACTTTCTTTTACCTGCGCAAGCTACACGAAATACTAATTATCCAGCCAGCTTGGAAAGCATTTTCAGCTAGGATACTGAATTGGTATCAAAATGATGTCCTAGACATTATTTACTTATGTATTGAATATACAAAAAGGGCAGTAAGAATGATGCTGAAAAGAACTTCCACAATGGTAGCAGAAAATAGTGTATGAGAACCAATAGATAACTAAAGTTTCGATGAGCCTACACAAAATATATTACCACTGAAGAAAAATACCTTTTAAATTTAAGTTCTTTATGTCACACTGAATTAAGTCGATATCCAGCTGCATAACAAAACATTTAATGAAAAGAAACATGTCATTCACATGTTAAAGTATAGTAGATCCTAGAAATAGCAAGTTACTGTGTCAATCCTCTCACATACTACTTTCAGCCCTACCTCTACCTCACCAACATGTACTTAACCATTTAAATTTGATCACTGGTACCAAAAGGGTAAAAACCATGCAAGAAGAACATCAGAGTCAACAACACCGGGGTTGTTATTGCTGACGAAAAGGCAGCGAACATAGGGATTTGACAGGATAGCTTAGCATATTCATGGAGTACTGAATTCAACATAACTTAGGTGAATGGTTTTCTGTGTTGAGGGGTGTGTTTCTGACCAGTATTGGAGTTCAGGGTTTAGAGGGGTATTGCACTTATCTCATATAGATACTACATTTAGGGTCAACTCCAGAATTACATTCTCCTTGCTAAAAAGAATCCTTCAGAACTGTATTTGGTACAAGCTAAGGCCCACAACCTTGTCCCTACGAATTTCTTAAGAAGCATATAACGTTATGCTAAAGGCAAGAGCAAATGGGGACTTAAAACAGTTTTCAGCTAACTGCACTTCCAAGTTGTCATCCTTTGATCAACTGTAGGAAGCGCTCGAGATAATAGACTAAGCAGACCCGTGGAAAATTCTGCGTGATACTCCCTCCGTCCGAAAATACTTGTCATCAAAATAGATAAAAAGAGATGTATCTAGAACTAAAATACATCTAGATACATCCCCTTTTATCCATTTTGATGACAAGTATTTCCGGACGGAGGGAGTATTTAACTAATTATAGAGGGAAAAGAGTCAATATGAAGGTTTATTTGCTTCAGATAAAAGCAATTGTTGCATTGGAAACGAAAGCAACAGCATACCTCCAGATCAGTAGCATTTTCTTGAGCAAGTTCAAGGGACTGGAGGTCAATATCAATACCAGCGACATGCCTGTCATTCCGGAATCGTATTGAACAAGATTAGGAATATCAAACAACAGAATAACCAAAAAAATCGTAAAGATGCCCAATTGGTACACAAACACGTCGGTGTATAGTTCATGACAGTAACAGACAAGCATTTAAAATATTGTGCAGCATATGAGTTCGTTACATGCCATGGGAATGATAGTGTCACATACTCATCATGTTTCGTAATGATATTTATGCAACATCATTTTGACCAGCATCTAGAAATTTCAAACAAAAAATATATGAGGTAAATTAAAGTATAATAATAATAGAAACAGTTTTATTTTCTTAGATCTTCAGTACGAGTAACTAAGTTACAGACAAGGCACCAAGGCAGGTGGATCAGTGAGCTTTTATGGTAGTTTACTGTCTACTAAGACCAAGTACTGGTAAATCAGCACATAAACATCATGAAGCAATGTAGTGCCTACTAGTTAAACTCTTGGTGTCCCCCAAAAACATGGTGTACCTTATACTGCACAATCAATGAGCAAACCATGGCACACGTAACCAGTCTTCAGTTCTCCATCCAGTTACAGTTTAAAGTAGGTGTGCAAATGATGGCGCGCGAATTATGAAAATGACAACGCTATTGTACGGTTAAGGAGCGAAATCTCTGTTGATACCAACTCTGTTGTGTGCAAATTATGGCATGGGAATTTTAAAATGACAACGCTGTTGTATGGATAAAGAGCAGAGATCTCTGCTGATACCAACTCGGAAGAAACAATTGTAAATAATAACTGAAGAAAACGATTACCAAAATACTAAGAGCTTCAACGCACTCACTCGGCATCCAGCAGAGCACTCGCGACAGCCAGGGTACCACAGCCGCACCCAAAATCAGCCACCACTTTACCAGCTATGTTATCGAAGCTGTTCTCAGCCTGACAGATTCAGCAAATCACCATGAGAAAGATAAAAGCAGAGGCACACCAGAATCACTAGAATTTTAGCATCCAAGCACGCCCAACAAGCCTACTTATTAGCTATCTGTCTGCCTCACTGTTCAGATAAAAATAGCCAGGCAAGACATTCCTAAAGGTTGAAGCACAACTTGCAAGCAGCTGAACATTCAAACATTCCCAAATTTGTACTACAGGCAGTATATACAGAGCTAAAAGAACTAAAGCGTGAGCAACAACTTGTGCAGAATCTTCTACGGCAAGCCTACTAGCCCACTGCCGGAGTAGCTTGCCGGTTTTGGGCATGGAGCCGCGGCCGCGCGCACTCGCGGCGTCCAATTGCAGACAGAATCACATCACAGCAAGTACCAGGATCGCATCCATGCATAAAGGGGCATATGAGAATCGGGGCGGGGTACTACCGTGTAGAGCATCCTCGACGCGATGTGGGGGCCCGTCGCGTACTGCTCCAGCTCCACCTGTACCCATCACCTCCGCCGGCGACGGCGGCGGCGAAGCTCAGATAAGGTCATGCTTGTTCTGGAGGCGAATCGAGCGGCGGATGCGGCGGAGGGTACCTTGGGGTCGGAGAACTGGGTCAGGCCCCCCAGGAGGCCCTCCAGCTGCTTCAGCTTCATCTCCTCCTCCCCTCGCCGTCGCCGTCGCCGTCACGGAGTTGGAGATGTGCCCTCTCTTCCTGCCGGCGAGCCAGTGGCGCCTCCGACGGCCAGAGGGCGGCCTTTTCCCTTAGGGCCGGCCGTCGCGGGCCGGACCGCAATACCAGGCCTCTATTTTGGCCCACCTGTAAGGTCCAATGCCAGCCCAAGAGCCCATCACGCCCAACCCCAAAACGAGCCCAGTACGAGAGTGGGTGGAAACTCGGTACAGGCGGATGGTCTCTCTCTCTCCTTCCTTTCCTTCTCGTGCCGTGCGGCGGCCGGTGGGCTCGAGACCGCCGTCGCCGTCGCCATCGCCATCGCCGCCGGCTGCCTCCTGCTCCGTCCGTCCCCGCCGCTGGCGAGACCAGCACTTCCCGTGGGCGGCGGTGCACGTAGCAGGTACGTACCGCCCGCTCGTCCTCCGCCCCAGTTCTCCGGCTTTGCGCTTGAGCAAGCAGCATTTTTTTTCCTTGCTAAATAAGCTAGATTTCTTCCCCTGCACAAAAGGGGTTCCATTTTGTTCCAGCGCGTCATGGTCTGAGCTCGTAGTTTCCTTCATCTTCAATCTATACCGAAGTTTAATTACAAGGCTAATTAATCTGTACCATCTCTGAAGTATCATTCAGTTATAATTGCTTGAATATACACTTTCATGCCCCGGCCAGAAACAAAGTCTTTCCATTTTCTACAACATGTGTGATTGATCGTACTACTTAGACATGAACTCTGCACTCTTGGAGAAAACTGCTTGAAAGGATCGCCGATTCAGTTCAGAATGAATTTACATCTGAATTCTGCACAAATTTTTTTTAGCCAAGTAGATGTGCTTTACTTTTACTGTACATCACAAAGGAAAACGAAAGGACTGATGGTATAGGCATATAGCATCGCATGCCATGCCATGCACTCGGATGTTAATGTCTTCTTGACTTCACCAGCATGTTGCAAAGGGTGGTGTGTGTGCCACGTTTTCTGAATAATGCGTGCTGCTTAATTAACTATAGTTTTCTTTCTCTTGCATGAAGTAATCTATTTATGAAAGTAAATGCCCCATTAACAACGCAACTTAATAAACCCATAAAACCCCCTTGGGTTGTGGCCATTAAGGGGCCATAAGGTCGGTCTTTGTCAAGATATAATGTGACACGCCATGCCAATGTCTCCTCTTCCGAGAGATGCAGGTAGACAGGAACCAGCATCCCTCCGGTCCCTCTTCCCCCCACCCCCAGCCCTAGCAGTAGCCAGCTTCTGAAACCCCTCCATGGATTTCGGTTGCTTCCAGCCCCACGCGGGGAGCTGCGATGACACGCCGCTTGATTTCCATGTGCAGCAGAGTGCCCACTATGATCTCCACTCCCTTGATCGTTCGTTCGAGCCTGTCGGCGGATCAATTGGCCCCTTTGCGGCCTTCTATCCTGACTACTACCCACAAGTTGCGACGACCAAGGCTGTCATCGGCGATGCTTCATCAATCGTTCATAGTTCTGGACCTCACCTGCCTCTGCTGACGCCAAAACTTGAGGTTTCACAACTCATAGGAGGCGGCCTTGGATCGTACAAGACCTATGAGATGAGCCGCCGGTTTTTCCCAAGAAAGAAGGCCTCCAGTAAGGCTCTCAAGAGGGCTAATGTTGTCAAGGGGCAATGGACACTGGAAGAAGACAGGTAAGAATTAGATATGTTGTTTCATGCTTCGTTCAGTATTGTCTCTGTTTGCAGCGCTGTAAGTCTGTGTTATTACTTGCTATCTGTGTTGTTAAGTTCGTTCTTGCATCTTTTACAGGAAATTGGTGAAGTTAGTGGAGCAGTTTGGACTGAGGAAATGGTCTCAGATAGCGCAAATGTTGCCTGGAAGAGTTGGAAAGCAATGCAGAGAAAGATGGCACAACCATTTGAGACCTAACATCAAGGTTTGTCTCTCCAACTTCCGTTTGAACTGAACCGAGGGGTCAAATCTATTTTGATCTCCTTTATATTCTGTAATAAATGGAATGCCTACAGTTATGTCTTTTGCTTTGACTGTGTTTAATGAAATAATAAACTAATTAAGCTCCAAAAAAACTATTTTGAACACATTTAGTGAGATTTGAATGTCGTTGGTCAGTCTGCAATACATTATGGGTGCACTAAATTTGGGGAATTATATACATGATGCCATTTTTGGTTTGCTTATATCAGATTCATGGGTGGGGATAGTATTTAGTACTAGATTTGCAATCTAATTCAGCTTAAAAAAACTAGTTTGAAACTTTGAATACATTCAGGGAGATTTGAATGTCATTGGGCCAGCCTGCCCTTTATTAAGGATGCACTAAATTTTGGGAGTAATATAAGCGATGTCTTTTTTGGTTAGCTTTTATCAGGTTGATGGGTGGGGAATGGGTATAGTACTTAGTACTAGAATGGTTCTTATCCATGATGATAGAATCTCAAACCGGCACTCAAAAACTATTTTTGTACCCTTCTAGTGAGCCAAACAGAAGAAAATTCTAACCTGACATGGCCACATGGGACAAGAAAACATAAACTGAGGGGAAATATTATTTTTGAAAAACTAGAAACAATGCATCATGGAAAATTATGTTGTTGACCAGAGCCATAGAAGTTCAAATAACCTTTGCCCCTATTAAAATTTTAAAAATTACAAAATGTTTAATGGTAAATAACAATAATGGATAAATATCATGGTGAAACCAAAAAATGGGGCATGGATGTTTCCAAATCTGAAATATTTTTGTCAAGTTCTTTTTCCTGAAATCTTCTCATATTATCTGTGTAGTATTCATGCTTGAAATAAACTTTTTGTGCGTGGATGAAACCACAAATGCAGAAAGATACTTGGAGTGAGGAGGAAGACATGGTTCTAATACAAACACACAAGGAGGTTGGCAACAAATGGGCAGAGATAGCTAAGCGCCTGCCTGGGAGAACTGAAAACTCCATAAAAAATCATTGGAATGCAACCAAGAGAAGGCAGTTTGCACGGAGGCGGACCCGCACAAGCGCCAAGAATCCCAAATCTGGGACCCTTCTGCAGAACTACATCAAAAGCCTTGGAATTGGCTCTAGCAAGGTCACTGCTGCTCCACTAGCCCCAAAAGAACGTCCACTGTCACCATCTTCACCAGCATCCCCAACACAAAATCTGGCACAGGTGAGTGACAGTTGGTCAGAATCCAACCCATCCAACATAATGGTCAGCGAAGGACTATTCAGCACAGATGACAGACAGGCTGACTCTTGTGAAGAAATTCTGGTCCCTACATGCGATGACTTTTCTATTGACATGTGTGATGGTTTATTTGACACAAAGGAGGATGAGCAATACCCGGTTTACAGCATAGATGATGATGTTGACATGGACTATATCTTCAACCATATGGACTACACTATTAAGATTGACCATGAGATAGATATGGAGATGGCATGGTGTGATGACGCACTCGCAAACATTGAATCTGGATCATCGCCATTGGTGACAGTGGCAGGTCCAGCAGAAATCAAGACTGTCCAGGTGAAGGAGGAGATGAATCTAGTTGAGCTGGTCACACGTACAGAGACTTGACATTATTATATATGCATGCTATTTATAGGTAATATGACGACCTTTTGGATGTTACTATGGGACCTGCTATTTATAGATAATATGACGACCTTCTGGTTGTTTCCGTAGATTATATGACGACCTTCTGGATGTTTCCATAGATTATATGACGACCTTCAAATGTATTATGGAACCATATTGACATGATAAAAATGGTAAATAAGACCATGTGTATTATATGGCTTGAAAATGAAGTGTTTATTATATATTGAATTAATGTTTGAAACATGTTTCTCATTTCATTATTATGGTATAGTTACCTAATTTTACTTTATTTTCGTTATGGAAATGGAGATGAATTGCTATACTTTTATGAACATTTATGGATAACATGTCAGTGCCGTGGTGACTTGTTGTTTGTAGCTATGCACTGACACGGTGCACTACACTTAATTCAAACTGAGAGATTGTGTGGTCAATTCAGCATCCAACATTCAGATAATTCTTCTCTCAAGTTTAAAATAACACACAATATGATTGAATAGTACATAATAGGTTGTTTTAAGTTAGAACCCATTGATAAAAGAAAGCATTGCATTAAATTTTTATCACATCGACCCAACGTAGGACATCTGCGCTCAGGCTCAGCTCATACAACCATTCATTCTTTGTTCAACTGATCCAGGAAATTTCGTTGATACCTGCACACGATCGTAATAGGTAGTTAAGAAAAAAGTTTAATAGGCAAAGACATGTTTAAAAAGGAAACCTTTTTATTGATTCTGCACAAGCTGTTCTAGTCTGATACTTCAGTTTCTGTTGGTAATGCAAATTGGGATTTTATTCCTTTTTTTTTTACATGTTGGCAATCTTGTTCAAATATAGTACTGTATTCCTTTCAAAAAGAATGTTTAAAAATCAAATCATATAATTTACTAAAGTATGAGCTGTTGATATGAGTTTTCCTTTTTGCTGAGATAATTTATTTTTAAAGAACATGGTTAATGTTAATAAGGCATCATACTTGGAGTCTTTTATTAATAGCTGAAGAAAAAAATTACCCTATATGCAGGGAAGGGTCACAATCATGATGAAAATACTCCTGTTGATTAGCTTGATTAGCATGGCCACTAGACCCACTAGGTCCAACATCCTGGCAAGACATTTGCAGCACATTTTCCACACTAGTTTCTTGTATCTGGTACAACAAAGAGGTAAAAATTGAAGCACGCATAGCTCACACTGCTTTCGAATATATGTGACGAACTCAGCCATTAATTTACCATTCCCAATAAAAACCACAGCCATGGAATTTTAACAACAATATAAATACCTTCTTTTGCCAAGAAATCTATGGTCCATTGTGCATTTCCATCGAACAAGCAAAAAAAAATATATATTCAAAAACCCGTTGAAAGAGCAGGACATTATCATCGTGGACTGTCTCATATTTCAGTTGCACGATCTTTCTTTAGTTAGGAGAAAGAAACTAGATGATTGACAATTTAATGAAATAACCGAAACAATACGAAGTCGGCTAGTGCTAACTTTCCCTCCATATATATGTTTTTATTTTATCACTGAGGCTTCCCTGTACTGTGTATGGAACTCCTGAGCGTGTCTAAATGAGGATTAACCAAAATAATTTGTGTATATATGGCACATTCAAGCTAAGCCAATGCTGGAAATAAAATAAAATGATTAAAAACCGTGAGGGAAGAGATGAGGTTTATCACTCATATTGATGTATTATACCTTCTTCCGTAAGTCTTTATTAACATCTTGCAGTTGTTGTTCCTGCACAAATTAGTAATTAGTAATTCTGGGGCCTCTACGCTGAAAGAAATATATTGAACAAGATCAGGGCTTAACAAGACGACACACGTGTTACCTTGCGCTTGAGCTCAAAGAGCTGATCAAGTGACTGTTGGCTCTGTATAAGTCATACACAGAAATAGCTAGTCAGCATGACATTCTACATGTTAAACAAATCTGATCTCAAACATTTACATATTATTACAGCATGCATCTGAAATCTGAACCTACGACTTGTGAAGTACATATATGGAAATATGATCACCAGTGAATTTACTTGACTATGATGATGTACCTTTGTCGCCCTGATATGTTTGAGAGATATCTCAATTTGGTTCTCAAGCTGCTCAAGTTCCTTCATGTTAAGTGGGCCCAAGTCCTCGCCAAGATGATTTCTGTAAAAGATCAATAATTTAATATAGGCACTAACAGCTCCTCTCTTCTCTCTGTAATCTCTCTCAACTCTCAAGTACACACATAGTAAAAAAAGGCTCAACACATACACACGTATTCCATTAATCACTCCATGCTCTCATCGCTTCCTAAACTCTCTCCATGATCAAGACGACTCGGAAACCATCTGTGAACCAAGCAAACTATATGCAGGCACTTCTCCTTATCTATGATCTCTACTTGCATGCAGGCCATTCGATAATTATGTAATGCAGCAACTAAAACGCAGACGGCCACACAACAAACACATGTCTGCGTCTACTAATGTGTGTTTGCCTCCATCTCCCTCTAAGAGCACGCATGCTAAGTCCATGTCATCCATGATCGCCTAGTCAATGACAATATTAAATAGCAATCGGTCACCTGGTACGTAATTAATGATCGATATATCTAACATTTCCTATAGTTGGCTAGGTAGGGACTACATACCTCTGAGTTGTCTGTAGGAACTCAACTCTTGTCTTCAGCTTCAAGTACTCCTGGTAATTGCTCTAGTTTGGATAAGAAAAATTAACAACCCACTGGTCAAGTAATCGAGTGAAATCATGACTATAATACAGAACTACATTATGCATAAACCATATATATGTATGGTTGTTTACAAGGTACTGCAAAAACTTTCTAGGAGATAATAGCTATGTGACAATGAAAATAGAACGGTATGGCATACTATAAGATACTGCTAATGAAATATTCCAAAGTTGATAATATGAATGACGAAGCGTACATAAATTAGCATATATAGTAGTTTTTACATCACATTGAAGTTAGGGGGTAAGTCCTCTCCAGCGTTAATTAGTTTTGTTTTCAGAAAGGGATATTAGACCCATCATGTGAGAGCTCTGTACATGTGCAAATGTTCAGAAAGTTTTATTTCATTCCGTTAAATACTTACTGCTACTCAGAAGCAGTAGATGGAGCTCTTATATTTCACCATATATACCACTGCATTTAATTAACAGTTTAGATCCAAATATCCAATTTGAATTATTACTTTGCTTTATGTATTGATACTTGATTTTCCATGAGCCGTGAAATTACATTAAACACATTAATTCCAGTCACCAAATTGCCATAATCTGATCCTGAACATAAATCCTATCCAAGACTAACAGTTCACAAAATGCACGTGGCACGCCATGTATATACTTCTAGAAACACCGCTCTAGTGTCTAGTGCATACTGTTCGGTTTTGCACATGAAATGTATATGAAGCAACAGTGTTGAAAAGGTTACTTGTTCAGTCTCCGGAGTTGCAGTTGCCTCGGAGTTGAAGTTGCAGCTGCGGTACCGCTCTAGTGTCTTGTACATGCTGTTGAACAACAAGAAAAATGGATTATAGACAAGCTTTTGAAAGAAGAAAATCATGAAATATCTCTGACCCAATCAACGTAACGTAAGAGTTCATTACATTGTAGTGTGGCATGACCAAACGAATTTGACATTGCTGAATCGTTTGGAGAACAGTTATTTCTAAGTCGACCATTTCGCTTAAACAATTGGATGTAAATATAGACCACCTTTGGGTTGAAGGGTTTTTCTAAGAATCTGTAGGATTTAAATCCATCGGAATTTTCCCTATGAAGGTCCCTATTCCAAACATGCCTATTCTGTAAATATTAATTGTACCATATCTTTCATTAACGAATAGACGGTACTCCAGCCGATTTTATGAAAATTTAAAGCTATGGACTAATTTTAATTGAGAAAATTAGGATATTGGCCACATCACAGATCGGTACTCAAGAAGTGTATTGTAGCTAGCATAATGTAACCTCTAGTGCGGTCCGGTCCAATTTGTACAAAAGGCAGTTCTTATTTGGTGCACACTGCACAAACACATAATACACATGTCCTCAATTGTTCCTCTAAAAAAACATGTCCTCCATTGTCACCGAGAGAACTGGAACATTTCTCTGATAACGTGAAGTATTTTTTAAACTAAATTTCTTGCTACTTTCTCTATTAATTTGTTTCGTAAGAACATGTTATTCTAGAAAGGAAGAAAATGCTGTTAAGTTTGGGAGCGGCGATAGTGGCGTGTCGGCGGCTCGTTCTAGCGGTGGCAGTGGTCGTTCATGATCCATGGACCTCGATGTAATTTTTATTATGTTTTGAGGTGTTTTATATTTTTTATGAATCTTTATAATAGATCTGTGCTCTTTTCGCAAAAAATGGTGTAGCTATGTGTACTAAGATATAAAAAAACTATTTACATTTGTAAGGTTAGAGAAAATAACGCTTTGTAAGAAAGCCACGAATCGGCAAACCAACCCTAGACACCACAACTTGATCCGATCCGTGCGCCGCCGGGCAAAGCCTGCGCGGCGCCGGGGAGGCTGCTTCTCGTCGGGAGCTAGTATGGAGGAGCTTGTGGGCTACTACGGGATGGCGACGGTGCTACGTGGTCAGGTTGTTGCTGTCGGCAGATGATGTTTGGCGGACGAATTGGCGATCCAACGCGGTGATCTTCAACGGTGGCATGGCCTAGCTACGTCACTAAAGAGGAAGTCGGTGCATGGTCCTGGATGGCAGCAAGCTCGACATCAAACCCCAACTTGTCGCGCAGTGGCATGGACGTTTTCTCTTCTTCAGGTTTTCTTTAGGGAGTCTTCGAGTTTTGTTTGGGGCAGCTAGGTAGCGACTATGTCCTCGTCTAGGAATAATGTTCTCCTTGCTCTTTTTCTATTCCGTTGGTGTGTTCATCAACCTCGGAGTGTGTGTGGAGCCGTGTCTCTGGCAGGTCTTCCAAGATCCGGTCGGTTTTAGGTTTTCGATGGATCCGTATATATTCGGCCGGCGTTCATGGTCTTAGGAGTTTCCGCAGGACCGTTTTTTCTTCTCCGGGGTGGGAAATCTCGGCCGCCGGCATCTCCTGGTCTGCATCGACAACATCCCGACCGCTGCTTCTGCAAGCCGCTAGGTTTAGAAAAGTTTGCTCCGTAGGTGGCACCAAGCTTTGCTCATGGCGTGCCGCGGGTGGAATGATGCAGGAGGAGGAAGATTTCGGCACCCCCAAGGATTTGACAGTATTCTTATCTATCTGTGTGGGTGTGTTTGCAAGGACCTACGACACGTAATATATGGCCTTGGGCCTTGTCGCAAAAGAAATAAATTGACAGAAAAAAAAGTAAGTTTGAGACTTAACATGCCATTTTGCCATTAGAAAAAAAAGGGGTTCCATACGATTATGGCATGATGGCGCGTGCTCAATGCAAAGTAAAGCAGGGTACTGTTACATCACTTTTTTTCTTTTCGAACAGGCAGTACTACGGCAGCAATAATACCCTCGAGCTACAGTACGCGTCTTCACGTGTTTGCTACTACTGCCTTGCTTAACTCGCCCTGCTGCACTGGCCGGGCGGTTCGCCCGCTGGCTGAGCTAGCTAGCTATACCATGGTACTCCTACTAGCAGCAACATCTCACCTGTCTGTCCGTCTCTGTCAAAGTTCTACGGCCGACCGGTGGAGACGACGACGACGACGACGGAGCACCGGCCGGCCGGTCACATGCCATGCCATGCCATGCCTGCCGGGAAGAACATCGTAGGAGGATAAACCCTGACGATCCATCGTTTCCTAGGGTCACTTTTCCGTCTTTTTTCTCTCCGGCCGCGGCCGCGTGCGAGTACGGCGCCTGACCGGCGTAGGGAGAGGGGGGTGGGTGGGGAGACGAGGCCTCAATGGAACAGTGGAATTGGATCCCAATGGAACAGTAGTAGAATTGAACAGTATAATTGGATCCCAATGAAACAGTAGTAGAATCTATAGCTAGCTAGAGAACGACACACACACACCAGGAAACTTGTAATTAGGTCGAGCAGTGCCTATGCACACACATAGTACTAATTAGATCTGGCCATGCCAGCCGGCTGGTACAGAGGCCGAGGCCATGTGCATCGCGCTATGCAGAGGCCACACAGCGTGGTGGTTTTGTCATCTCTTATGTATCGATTGAGTGAAAATGTCATTTTTATTAAGAAAAAAATGTCGACATAACAAAACAGGAAAGGGGTAACACCCAGCAGATGGATGGATGGTAGGGAAGAAGCAACAGATCTTTCCGCACAAGCTCTCATGAAAAATGAGGAATTGGTTTGTTTCTAGGGCACAGATCAAGTAGTATTAGCGCAACGAGAATCAGGTTTTTATAAGAGAAGAATGTATGTAGGATTTTAATCCAGCATAGGATTTTTTTTCCTATGGACGCCATTTGAGAAGAAGTTTGCCACTAATAACATTTTCCATGCCTTAACTTTAGGATTTTCTAACAAAAAGGTTATACCTCATGTTTTTTTTCCTTTTTGCATGCACCTTTTTAAATATCTTAAAATTCTTTTGAAGTACTCAAATGGCCATGTCTGCAAAGTCCCGTGCTTTGGTTTCAGAAACCATGACGGTGCCCATTGCTGTTTTTTGTACTGAAGAGGCGACTAGAAGTGTGCAAACCTAAATAATATGCAGCTAGCTATCCAATTTTTTTTTACTGGATAAAGAATCAACCTTTAAGACTGCAAAATAAAGCCCCCATTTCACACATGCCTGCTCCGTAGATACTGTAACATCTCTTTTCTTAACGAATAGACAGTGGCCCTAACGATTTCATACACACAAAAACACATATGTTTAATTAGTTAATTAGGATATTGCTCGCTGCACATGTTGGCATTGGACAAATGCATGGGCGCTACCATAAGGTAACCTCAAATCCGGTCTAATCTGTGTAAGAAATTTTCTAATTATTCAGTGCACACAACACAAGCGCATTTTTCAAACCAAGAAACTTCGTGATGGGCCGGCGACATTTTGTTTTAGTTTTCAAATTTCTCGCCACCTCCTCTGTTCGTGTCTCAAATATCATATGCACATATAGAAAAAATGACGGCAAATTATACATTTTTTTGTGACTGGTCAATTTTACATGTCAGAGACTGTGTCACGTGTAATTAATTAGGAAGGAATGGGGTACCATTTCCCCCCTGCAACTTCTAGCTGCACTCTGCTGAACAAACTCTTAGACCATACAATAATAGTACGAGCATCTCATAAATCCTCTCTCTTCGTCAGTGTTTGCTTAGAGCTGCATACGATTATAGCTTAATGACGCGTACTGCCTAGTAATGTAAGCAATTTATATGTTCGGTCCTTGCCGTTGCGCCCTCCGGGTAAGCCCTCTCCGCCAGTGGACGACGATGAGGTACGTACGTACTACGCCTGTCTGTCAAATGTCCACGGCCAACACGCACTGCCACTGCCAGTACCGGGCGGTGAATTGAATTCATTCCATCGTTCACATGCGGCCGGAGAACAGCATGGTACTCCTGCTCCGGGATAGGACGAGTACAGCTGAGGACGAGCACGTACACCGATACATAGTATCGTTTTCTCCGTCACTTTTGCTCGCCTGGCCGCGTGCGCGTACGGCCGCTCCGACGAGTCACCCAGACAAGACGGAGAGAGAGAGGAGAGAGGGCCGAGGGCTCAATGGAACAGTAGAATTGGGATTGGTTCCCAATGGAACAGTAGAATC